CCCCCGGCCCCCTCCCCTCTCCCCTTACTTTTTCATTACTAACCCGCAACAGGACCCTAATAAAGACCCCCTTCACCCTCCTAATCATCACCTTCTGCCACACGGTCGATCCAACAAGCGAGGTGGATCGCGACTCCATCTCCTCCGGGTGCATGCGATCCGTCACACCTCGGAAGCGCTCGAGCAACTCGTCTCGCTCGTTGAGGTGCAGGGCCGGATTGCGGGGCTCTGTAGGGAGGGACTGTCCATCTCCAGAAGGTGAAGGCGGAGGCGCAGCAGGCGTTGCTGCTGGGTTCGTCGTTGGATGTGTTTTTCAGTCGGGCGGGTTCGTGCCCCGCCCCTCTTCTTGACGGGATGGCGTTCGGTAAGGGTTTGCGGGGAGTTTTGAGTGAGTTGGCTTGTCTTGTGGAGGGGCTATTGCTTCTGATGTGTTTGAGGTAGCTTGCGAGGAGGGAGAGGGGACGGGGAAGGGTTACCCGGGCTATATTCGATGGTGAGATTGTGGGGCAGGTGCAGCAGGTGTATGGCATGTTCAGAAAGAAGCAATGGTTTGTTGAGAGATCGAGACATGAGGAGGCGTGGGAGCTACCTTGATGGCCGTGGCCGTGGTTGATCCTGAAGCGGGTTGGTTTGCCGACGAGACCATACTGCCGATGATAGATGATACTTTGGGGGTGTTTTCAGGACAAGCAATGTAAAATAGTCATTCATGATACCCGTTCCTTGATCTCAATTTGAACTCCCCATACTACACTAAGAGATCTAGCCTATTTACACTCTCCACAGCACTAGTAGCACTTCATCCACCCACATTTAACAACTCAACATAGCTCAGATCAATCATTTCCAAGGCTGGCGGGTGGGCATCACCAAATGGTGGTTCGTGAACGGGCCGCCGACATTCACATAACCGCCCGTCCAAGGAGTGCAGACATTGTTGGTGTTGACCCACAGAGCCTTGAGATCCGACCGCTCCTGCTGCTCCTTCAGAAGCTGGATGATGTTCTGAGTGTGGCAGCTCCAGTTGTAGTTGGGATTCGATTGGCCCGTGACCCCAGTGTGGCAGTACAGCGTCCACTCGTGCTTGTAGCCCTTGGAGTCCACGGTGATGAAAGTCTTGCCGCCGAACTTCGGGCAGATGGTGCTGAAGTTCTCGCGCGCGATCTCCTCGAGCAGGGCCTCGTTGGCCGGCGAGGTGGTCGACGCGCTGGTGCCACCACCACTGCCTTCAAGCTTCTTGAGCTTCTCGTTGGCTTCGTCGAGCGCCTTCTGGAGGCGGTCTTTCTCTGCGTCGCAGGCCGACGTTAGAGTCGACTTGTCCGCGTCGCACTGCTTCTTAGCGTCTTCGGTGATGGCAGACTTGTCCGCATCGCACTGCTTCTTAGCGTCTTCGGTGATGGCAGACTTGTCCGCATCGCACTGCTTCCGCGCGTCCTCCGTGATGACGGTTTTGTCCGCATCACACTGCTTCTTCGCTTCTTCAGTAATGGCCGCCTTGTCCTTCTCACACTGGGCCTCGCCCTGCTTCTTCAGATCGTCGCAGGAGCCTCCGAGGTCAGTCTTCTCCTTCTCGCATTTCGCGATCTGGTCCTGCACAGCAGCCGCGGTCTGGTCCCGACATTTGGTGTTCATCTCCTCCTCCAGCTTCGCCTTGTCCGCATTGCATTGCTCCGTGACGGAGGCGACCTGCTTAGCACAATCCGCCTTGCACTGCTCGCCGACGCGGGTCTTGTCCGCCTCGCATCGCTCCGCCGCCTCCTTCTCGCACTGCGTCTTCGCCTCCTCGGCGGCCTTATCGCATCCGCCCTCCGGCTCCGTGGGCTCCTCCCCAGCGACCAGCTTGCCCGTCTTCTCGAGCAAGAGGATCCCCTTCAACGGTCTGACCGAGTAAGCGCCGGAAGTGATGAAGTAACACTGCCCCTTGGACATCCAGGCGGCCGCGGGACATTGGGCGCCAGCGGCCGCACAGAGCTGCGCACACTCGCGCGCGCTGGCGGCGTTCACGGGCTTGGTCGCGTAGGGCGTCGCCCATTGTCCGCATGTGTAGGTGAACTCGACGCCGTCAACGGTGCCGCGGCCAGATGAGCCACTTCCACAGCACGCATCGAAGTTAGTATGGGGGGCTCCGCCGGTCATGCTGAGGCACTGGTTCGCGCCTGTGTTGGCGGAACCGAGGGGAGCCTGCGTCGCCCATGCTGCGCTTCCCGCTGAAAGCACGGTGAGAAGACGGGAGAGATTTCCCATTGTGAAGTGTTGTGTGGTTCGGAGGTGTGACAATCGAAGGATAGAAAGGCGGGGTGCAATAGTTGAAAGAGGAGAAAGGAAGGTGTATCAACCTATGTGCTTAGGCCCCGGTGTAAGACTCAGCCACTGCAGCCACGCTGAAAGAAAGAAAGAGCCGATGGAAAAGTTCAGGGAATGAGCTCTGGGTGGAGTCGTCTTTATAGGATGGGCGACCGCCGTCTGGGGACCAGGACACGCTGAGTAGTAAATCCCTCCCTTTTCCCGGCGAGTGGAGTTATCAGCCATGAGAATGGGGCCCGAGATGCTCCGTGTGGTTCTTGACGAAAGGCGATCTGATCATCTTGCATGTAGGTGGATGTTAGTGTAGTGTCTCTCGCGTTTATGTATACGGTCACTGAACAGTAAGATACGAGTCGATACTGCCCTCTTTCTTGCGAATATGGCGCCTGACCGTATTGCTCTGGTAAGCCCACCCTCTCCTCGAGCAGCACTGGCCGTCGAGAGCAGAGAGCTCCCTCTTTGCTTTTGTCACGGCTGAGAAGAGATCCACCTGACCTCTCCGCTTCTGCTTCCATCTGCGGAGCTGCGAAAGGGCCTAACTTTGTGGAAGGTCGCGGGAAAAGGCGGTGTTGCTTCAAAGACGCCTCTGATTGCCCCGAATCGGGGCCCTCGATCAAAGCTCTGCTCTGTCATTCAGCTGTCGAAGCTGTGCATGGTTCTCGGGAAGGCAGTGATCGGCAGATAGCGTCCGATAGCGTTCGATCGCGTAGATTGTCACACGCTAAGGTAGCCGATCAGTCCGTGGTGGAGCTGAAAAGACAACAGACCCCTCCTACTTCTCAGCCATGGCTTTGCGGTGGCAGAAAGTGAGAGAGCGAGACGAAAGACAGACAATGGAGACATTGAGGATACTGTCACATATTGTATCTTACGCGCTGTGAATCTATATTAACGACAGCTCTGCGGCTCGGGAATTAGAGTGCGGGAGAGTCCCATGGAACCGTTTCACAAAGGGAGTTCTCAGCTCGGAAATGCAGCTCCCCGGGTCTGGTCCAGTCACAAGTGCGAATCGCATTTTTCCGAGCAGATCGGCGCCGCCCAGCTCCGGAGATCCACTCGCTGTCTTGGGCACGGAATCTTGAGATTGGATCAGTGTTTGGAAGCTAGGACACAAGAGGTCGTAGCCCGGGGCCAGGTGTTTGTTAACTTATCAAGGATAGTGTTCGACACGATGGGTTCCCACTTCGCATGGAGCAGAGCCTGGAGCAGAGCTCGACTCTAGTGTATGGAAGGTGGAAGATTAGAAGGAGTGGCAGAATGGCAGAATGGAACCGCGTTGCAAGCGAGAGGCAGGCGGTCCCCTGTCGTACACCGCCCTTTGTACTGCCTGACTATCCACACTCTTGCTTCGGAGTCTTCCATATCATCCCTTATACTTCCATGGCTAAAGCACGTATGCACAGACCTGGAAGAGAAAAGACACTACAATGGATACTGTTGTTCTAAGTCCCAGATTGTCGGGGGTTCAAGCAACATTCTCAACTATTTTTGGTTCAAAGAATCGTGTCTGGTGATCCAGCTTGTTTCGCTTCGGCACGTCCTCGGCACGTCTAACACCCTGTGTGGCGCGACCTGGAGGATGTAACGAACGGGATCTGCGGGTTTTCCGACCGATGTCAAGATATCCTCCGGCCCCTTGCACTACAGGATCATATCCGAGGGGAAAGGTTGAAACACAAGCCAAAGGGTCCATTTATTCACATAATATATAGGTATGTAGGTAAGTCAATCGACTATCGACGACACATTTCACACTGTTCAATCTCGCTCGCGGTATCTGGCATGCATACAACATGCACACCCCAACTATATACTGCTTCCTGCTTTCCCTGGATTCGAGAGAAAAGCACTCACTCATCCCAGATGATGCTGCTCAACCCCTCGGCCGTGCCCACCTCACCGGGCTCCCCAACCTGCAACTCGGCAATCTTCGCGCCCAACACGCCCGTGACTGTGTCACGTGCCACGATCGCAACGTTGGAGCTCGCCTGATCGCCAATGGCCACCAGGTCGCCCGCCTTGTTGATGACAAACGTCCGGGGGACGGTACCATACGCGGAACTCAAGCGCTCGAATTCAAGGGTTGCATTCGCATGGCGGGTCAGCGTAGCAATGCTATCGTAGGGCGCGAAGCCGTGGTCGGAGCGCACAGACACGTACAGCCCATTCCCGGCCTTGCGGATCTCGGCCAGCGTCGCCCCCGTCGGGAGCGAGTCGTTGGTGGTTGGGTAGGGCACCAGGACCTGGAGCTGGCGGAAGGAGAGGCAGCCGTCGGAGACGTAGGAGACGTCGAAGACCTTGAGGTGGCCGTCGAGCTCGTTGGCGGTGTAAAGGGTGGCGGCGCCTTGTTGTTGGGCCTGGTTGCGGCTGCGGCGGGCGTTGCGGCGGGCGTTGCGGTTGTTGGTGGTGAGGATGCTGTGGTGGTCGTCGGCAGACTCCCAGAAAAGACCGTGGCGGGGCCCGCTGCCCGTCGGATAGGTCAGGTCAGTGCAGTGGGACTGCAGCTTGCCGGTGGCCTTGTCAATGGCGTAGACGCGGAGAAGGTCAGACCCCAAATCAGGGACGAGGACGAAGGAGCCGGTCGGGTCGAGGAAAACTTGGTGCGGGTGTGGGGAATCTTGCTGGGGACGGCGTTTGGGGTTGTCGTCGGAGAAGGTGTAGCGGAAGACCTGCAGCGGTTGCGAGTCTGGGGTGAGGGGAAGGCTGAAAGTGGAGAGAGCCGAGCCGCCGCTGTTGAGGGGGTGGGATGATTGTTAGTGGGGTTACCTCGGTAAGTAAACGGATTGAAGATAAGATGGTGAGACAAACTAGTGTGCAATAGCCAGGTATTGGGCGCCGTGCTCGCCGGTGTAAATGACGCTATTCACGCCGCCTCCTGGAGCTGCGTCGGTGCTAGCGATCAGCTTCAGGGTACCGTCGGTCGACGCGGAGAGGGCGTTCAGGGAGCCATTGGTCGAGGCGTCGCCCGTCTCATCGTTGCAGTAAATGATGCGCGTGGCCGGATCGAGGGTCAGCCAGCTTGGCATGGGGCCACAACCCTGGATTTCCGACGAGATGGCAAGGTTGCTGCCATTGTTGCCATGCGTCAGCGAGAGAGAGTAGACCGTGCCGCTATAGTGTGTGGCATAGAGGTTGGTTGCCGACGCCAAGGAGGCGGAAAGCGAGAACAGAATCGACCGCAGGGACATGATGGATGATGTCCGAATGTGAGTTTGAAGCAGGAACTGGGGGACATGAGGCCTTTAACAGACCCTTAAATAGTGCTTGAGCAGGGGGTTTGAAGGAGGGGGCAAGATCGCGATTGGAATGGATCTGCATTCTGCAGGTGCGTTGGCCGGTGCCAGATCTGCAGGGTAACTGGTGGCTGGCATCTGCAGCCCTGTTCGCGGGAGTGTTATCTTCGGTTTGACAAATTGTTATTAGACTGTGAGGATCCTGATGCTTTCAGCCTGCTTGGCATGTCTTAGAATGGATACGCATGGTAAGCTTGATCACAATAGAAATGCATCACGAAGCTTATGTTTGGCTCATCCAAGGAAGGCACGATTGAACCGCGCGGATATTCATGAGGGTTGTGCTGCGACACCGCATAGACGTCTAGAAAGGATTATCATCCAGCATGTCAAAGATAGAGAGCTCCTTAGAGCTGAAGTTGATCGAAGTAACGATAACCATTACCTGTGGTAGTTGTCCTGAAGGATGAGGAGCCGTGGTAACCCCCACGCTTTCCCTTCCGTGCCGAAGTATATATTTTTAGCGCGCTTCCTGGTCTGCTGCAGAACAGCCGACCTACTCCGAAATAGCCCCGAACGGGATGTCCTAGCCCGAATGTACTCACGGTGTAAAGTACCTTGATAGTGTGGGGGCTCGATGGAGCTTCTTTACGAGGTGCTTCTTCTGCAGGCCGGTGATGAGATGCAATGACGACGGCGGCTGATTTAGCTTGACTCTCACCGTTCACCGCAGAGAGAAATCAACATTGTTGACTTGGTTGGAGTCTTGATCATGATATCGACATGCATATACTTATTTTGAGCCCTCCTATTTATGAGGAGTATCGGATTGTTTTGATAGAAGAGAATTAGTTGCTAGTGGGATCAGTGTAGACAGCCCAAGGCATAAACACTGAGAACTGATGGCCCGGTTCAGGCGGCTGGAAAGTTGAAACAACCAAGAATGCCCAAGTCTGACCGCTTCGAGACATGCCGGCAGAACTCCAGGCTGCTTTCTCTGAGCGGTGAGTGAGCTGAAGGTGGATCGGATCTTCCCCCCGTTTCCAATCAGAGGCTAGAACCCAGCCCTAGCCTTACTCAGCCAGGTCACGTGGCGCACAACCCGCCCACATCGAATATTCAACGACCACCAAAAGTCTTTTCTCCCGATCAACGACAATCCGACAACTTGAGCCCCATCCTCTTTCACGACACCCTCAAGGACCCCGGCACAATGGCTGTTCGCAACACTCAGGGTATGTTATCACTGCGCATACTCTCCTCAATTGATGCTGGATACTAATGAAATGTACAGTCGCTTCTTCCCGCTCCAAGAGCCGTAAGGCTCACTTCAGCGCTCCCGTATGAGTTTTTCCAACACCATTTTTTCGACGACATGAAGACTAACATAGCAAATTAGTCCTCCGAGCGCCGCGTGATCCTTAGCGCCAGCCTGAACAAGGAGCTCCGCGAGAAGTACGGTGTAAGTTAGCGACGAACCGATCCTTTCTGCCTGGTTGAAAATCTGCGATCCGCCCTTTGAATGAACGGAATCGATCTTGAACACCAGGGTCTCAACAAGCGAACGTTGCTAATCTTTCCGCCATAGGTCCGCTCCATCCCCATCCGCAAGGGCGACGAGGTTCAGATTGTCCGTGGTTCCAACAAGGGCCGTGACGGCAAGATCACCTCCGTCTACCGTCTCAAGTGGTGCATCCACGTTGAGCGTGTCGTCCGCGAGAAGTCCAACGGCCAGAGCGTCCCTCTCCCCATCCACCCCTCCAACGTCGTCATCACCAAGCTCCACCTCGACAAGGACCGTGAGGAGATCCTTGCCCGCAAGGCCAAGGGCCGTGAGGCCGTCAAGTCCGCTTAAATGCGCGGTCCTCTGATGTGATTTTGTTGCTGGAAGAGTGTTTTGTGGGGTTCCGGGTGCATCTTATATTTTGCAAAATGGCAGGAGTTGATCTTGATCAAAAACGACGCGGGATTCACGGAGGCCCTCCCCTTGCCTTCCCCGCTGATCCAGCCAATTATTCTCAAAGGGTATGATGGACACCTGTCTACCCTGCGGAATCCTGGCGCAATCACGGACGAAATGAAAAAATTGAAATATCCATTCTGATCTATATTTTTTCTTTCGCTGTGATTCACAATGGTGTGTATAGATGGGGGGCGTTCTGCTTCTCCATCTATCCGTCGTTCAAAAATGGGGTCTGTAAGTTCTCGAGATTCGGTGATTGGGTCGATGAGTTTGGTTTTGCGCGCAGTTGCGACTTGATTCTGTTTGATGGACAGATCGAAGGTCGGGCTGGGGCATTGCTGCATTTCGTTTCCCTCCGTCCCTGTCGCGAGACTTTGGACCTCTCGTAGTGCCTCGCCTTTCTAGGCCGTCGTCTCGTAAATAGTGGCATAAGCTGCTGACACGGTAAGTCAGTCGTAGCGATAATCTGGACCTCCAACAGCAGCGACAACACTCAGACCCGAGATTGCATCCACAACGTAGTTTGATCACGACCACCGCCGTTCTGGGACAGAAAGGCGATGCCGAGCAACTCCAGTGGAAAATTTCTGGTCACCTTATCTTATCGTCTTCACCTGGATACCTGAGGCCGGCATCAACCACATTGCTACTTTAAGCAGCACCTCTCACGTATCACGTTCACGAAGGCCTACCTTCTACCCTGCGTATAGGCTCGGATCAATTGAGCCTTTAGCTCTCGTTTGAGATGTCCTTCAGGCTCGTGATAGCGTGGTCTTCTCTGTCAACCATGCCCATGAACCGTGACTCGGAGGGTTTCGGTAATCGAGGTAGCTCCCCAACTAGAGGCTATTCACAGTCTTGCTCATGACCAACACAACCAAGCACACCCTCAAAGAATGCATTCTACATCCAGGATCCATCAGAACCCAACGGCCCAGGACACCAACTCAAAACAATGAAACCTCACTTTGATGAGAACATCACTTACAGATCAAAGACCATGTAAATGAATATATCATCTAATCCCTTGTCACCACACAACATACAACAGTCTTCTTGATCAACCCTCAAGATCATGGCTCGTCCTCAACCAGCACAATAACCCAGCCTGAATCCTTTATGCACACACCGAAACCCTCTAGCTCCGATCCCCAAAATCAACCTCCTGCGTACAATATAAATACACCCCACTCAACAGCCCAACAGTCCATCATCATCATCATCACCACCAACCCAAACCCGACACACAAACTCAGAACACGCCGAACCCCAACGCAAAGAAAAACCCCTCGACTAGATCCCTGACTGAGTCAAGATGTTGACCCGCCTGAACATGGCAGACATCGTCCCCCTCAACTCGAGGGTGGTAGCCACCCCAGCCGCCCCCAAGCAGCCCGCCGCGACGACCCCAACCGAGCCGCAGGTCGTCGAGTACCGGGAAAAGCCGTTTATCTTCGTGTGCTCGCACCAGGAGCTGTACCTGGACAAGAAGCGGCGTCTGCTGTCCGAGGACGTGATCTTGAAGAAGATCCACGCGGCCTTCGAGGCCTCAGGTATCCCCTGGATCCGGGCGATCCAGTTCGACAAGGTGCAGCGCGTCCAGCCGCCCAAGGAGAAGACCTTCGATCCGCCGCGCCGGCTGCGGCTGGACGTGAAGACCTGGCGCGATCGGGCCAACCTGTACAAGAAGGACGCGTGCCAGCGCGACTGGCTGCGGCTGCTCGAGGAGCAGCAGCCGTACGGGGCGAATATTGAGGCCACGGAGCTGCGGCCCCGGCCTCTGAGGGCGAAAATGTCCGGGAAGAGGGGGGGGAGGAAGGGTGGGCAGAAGGCTCAGCAGGAGACTCAGCAAAAGCCTGAGCAGAAGGCTCAGACCACTCAGCAGAAGGCTGAGCAGAAGCCTCAGCAGAAGTAGGTACACACCTAAGGCTCTAGGCAAGGCCGATCAAAACACCGTAGATATCTCGTTTGATTATCACACTCATATTATCAGATCCACACTTTCTTTTTTGTCTCTAATTGTTTCTATCTATCGTGTCTATACTTACTCCAAACCACTATGCAAAGTCGGTTGCGTAATCAATTGAACCCTAATCATCCTTCCACCCCAGCAGCCTACCCCAATTCCACCCCCAGCCCTTTCTCTCTCCACCATCTTTCCCTTCCCCAACCCCACCCCCCACCGCAGCAACAGTATCATTTCCGTACTCATCCTCCCCCGCAAAAAACCGAACCACCACCCCCGCCGCCCCCACCGCATCACTCCCCTCATCCCCCACCCCAATCGCCTTGACCCACCTCTCCACATCCCCAGCATCCCACCCCTGCCGCCTCCCAAACTCCACGCACGTCTCGCGGTTAACCTCCGCATCGAACTCAAAATGCCCCTGATAGGTGAGCACTTTGGCGGGGTGATACAGTCCCTGCACGGCACACTCCGCACTCGCGCCGATCACGCACCACGCCGCCGGCAAGGGCCGACAGATCCGGACGTGGTCGCCGTGGATCATCTGGATGTTCCACTTCCTTTCCTCTCCCTCTACCCTCTGCCCTTCGAGCGGGAGATTCTCGGTGGGAGGGAATGACCCCGAAAACGCCCCCGTGAACTCGGGGGTGAGGATGATGCTCTTCAACCCGACTTCTTTCCCGTGCGGCGCAGGCTCGACGCTTACGTAGGGCTGCTGCTGCTGCTGCTGCTGGCGCCGGCCGCCAGTGTCCAGCTCAAGCAGTGCCCGCGCGAGAATCTGGTGTCCGAAACAGCTGCCGAACAGCCGGACACTGGGGTACTGCGCGTGGACGGTTTGGAGGAAGGTGGTCAGGGGCGCGATCCATGATTTCGTGGGGTCGTAGGCGGAGGCGGAGGAGCCGGTGATCAAGATTCCGGTGATGGGGATGGAGAGGGGGTTTAGGGTTGTATCGGTGGCTGCGTTGGCGGTGGCGGTGGCGGTGGCGGTGGATGGTGATGCTGAGGGTTGCTGGAGACTGGTGTAGGCGGGGAGGTGGCCGCCGACCACGTCGAAGGCTGTGGTGTGGAGCTCGTAGGCTGGGTTGATGGTGGCGGCGGCGGCGCGGAGGAGGTGACGGAATTGCGTGCTGTAGAGGCCGCGGTGGGCGTAGATGGTGGGGACGGGGAGGTCGGTGTCCAGGAGGGCGATGTGGATGTGTTTTTTGGGGGGCATTGTTGGGAGGACTCTGGATGTTGGCTGGAGCTGGGAGTTGGGAGGAGGACGTGGGATTCTTGGTAGTCGTGGAGGGGAGGACTCATGCTTTTTACACTTTCTTCGGGCTGGATCTCTTTACTTGATGCGGTAATGCTTTTCGAGGACGGACGGACCTGCTCGGGAGCGAAGCTCTGCGGGGAAGCTTATCGGGGGTGGATCCGTCATACAGTTAAGTATACGTGCTGGGTCTTGATTTATACTCGGGATGCAAAGAGGCTCTCATCCGGCACCCTGTGAGTTTTATCTGAAAACATTGCCCGGAGGATCTTAGAGCCTTTTCGACTGAGGTTTATCACAAGATCACATGTACGTACAGCTAGTTGTGTGTGCGTGATTCTCAATTCCTCTGCGCTATTTACCGCAATGTCACTCCATCGCTACCCCGCATACACAGTTTGTCGTTTAATCGATTAAGACAACTGGATATCGACGAACACCTGAAAGAGGAGGAAGTCTACTGATCCGGAAGCACGCCATGATACGGCTCGCTTGATAGTCACACTGGAGCCCTATAGGTGCTCACCAACGGAGATAAGCAGCCACCAATTTAGTCTATTATTAGCATGTTCCAGTACCCCGCGATCACTACCTCAACCTCACGGAGGCATTTTGACCCCTTTGATCAGTATCGGCTTCTATGTCATCTGCATCGTCAGCTCACCTCTAAGCTGCACAGACTCCGCTCACAAAATGGGCGAATTCATCGTTTCTCCCTCGACGGAGATAGATGAATTTCTCCAAGCCGGAACGCGTCTGGTTGAGAAATTGTATGCAATCCATGATCTGGATGATGATGCGGAATTCACAGACTCCTGGAATGCAGATGCTATCGTAGCTGAGTTCCGTGCTTTGGGCGATCGGTTTTCCCAGGTCTCTGTGGCAAGCGCAGAATCGTTGACACCACCGGAGCGATCCAAGAATGTTCGCAATGCATGTGAGATCATCATCAAGACTGTCCTCTGTCGCTTCGATCTTCTGGACCAGCTCACTGTCTACAAGCTTCCTTATATTGCGAGACACTTTAGAGAGCTATGGCCGCGGGAGGATGTCGATACGTTGGAGGAACGCCTCAAGTCTATCATTGCCTCAGTTGAGTCCGAGGCGGGGTATCTACCCAGGTAAGAATGCGCTCGAACACTTGTGACCAGTCAACTACTGAGGTCGGTTAGTACTCAATCAATGAAGCTCGTTGCCACCCGTGAAGCACTCGATGCGCTCGACATCACCAAAGATCATCGAGACCAGGACCAGCCGGACACACAGCATGAAGCCGGGAGGCTATCAGCTGGAAAGAACGCGATGTCGCTCTTTGGCAAGAAACCCGGGCAGAACAAGAGCGTTCTCGAAGACGACAAGACATATACCAAGGATACTGTATTCTCCGACCAGGAAATGATTCTTCGGGAGTTTCTGCTCGAAAGCCTGAAGTTCGGTTCCATGACTGATCGGGAAGACAGCGTCGCGGTCGCTCACGACGGCACCTTCGACTGGATCTTAGCTGCCGATGGCTCAAAAGGCCACCACAGCTCGAACGTGCAGGAGTCTCTCGTCAGTTGGCTGTCCAGTGGAAGCAACGACGGCATCTTCTGGGTCAGTGGCAAGCCCGGGTCGGGGAAGTCAACATTGATGCGCTTCTTGATGTCACATCCCACCACGAAGACGTTCCTGGCAACATGGGCGGGCGAAGAGCCACTCATCACAGCCGGGTTCTATTTCTGGATCAGCGGCACCCTGGAGCAGAGGTCCCAGACGGGGCTAATGCGTCATCTGCTGGTCCAGCTCCTCGACCAAGAGCCTCATCTGGTTCCGGTCGTGTTTCCGGCGCGGTGGAAGCATCTCAGGCGGTTGACTACGCGAGAGCGGATCAAGGCGACGGTCGCCTGGAATTTGAAGGAGTTGAAGGAGGCCTTGCGGTGGTTCATGCAGCACACTGCCGGTGAAGCGAGGATCTGTCTGTTCATCGATGGCTTGGATGAGTTCGCTGGCGATCACGAGGAGGTGATCTCCTTTCTGCAGAAGCTGGTGTCCTCGTTCGCTCACCTCAAGCTCTGTCTGTCCAGTCGGCCGCTGCCCGTGTTTTGGGAAGCCTTCGGAAAGAACCCTAAGCTGGAGCTCCATGACTGCACGCGCCAGGATATGCTGGATTACGCTCGAGACCATCTACTCGCCGATCCGCAGATTCAATCCCTCTTCAGCAAGGATCCCCCGAAGGCCTCGCAGCTTATCATCGGTATCGTGGATCGGGCTGACGGTGTCTTCCTCTGGGTAGCCCTGGCGGTTCAATCCTTGCTACGGCGAAGCCATCTCGACTTTACACAGCTCCACCAATCTCTGCTCCAACACCCCACGGAAATAGACGACCTCTTCGCCTATTTCATCTTCGAGCAAGCAACCACCGACCAGACCACCATCGTTGCCCGCATCTTCCAGCTCCTCAACGCCCGCGAAGACGCCTGCAACGCCACCGGCCAAGAAGAAGCCACTACCATGCAACTATGGGAGCTCGCGCTCGCCGACCAAGCCGAAGCCTCCGAGCTCAGCATCCCGGAGGACGTCCACCAAGCCCGCGACGAACAAATCCAACAGATCTGCTCCCTCACAGCCAACCGCTTCAGCAACGAATGCGCCGGCCTGATCGTGACGCACCGGCCCAACCCCTCGACCATCCGCGTCCACCACGCCACCAGCCCATCGGCAGCCCAGCTCCTCGCCCAGCGCAAGGTGACATACGTCCACCGGACCGTCAAAGACTATCTCTCCCGACCCGAGATCTGGACCCGCCTCACCCACACGGTGAATGACCGTTTCTTTGACCCCCACCACGCCCTCCTCGCCTCCCACATCCTCCAACTCCAACACCCCCTCGACCCCTTCATCCGCCACCGCCAGATCGACGAATGGTGGCCCGCCATCCCCCTCGCCTTCACGCACGCGCGCCTCTCCCCATCCCCGGCGGCGGAGCTCGTCTTGATGGATGCATTCGACACCGCCCTATGCCAGCACTGGTCCTTCCGCGACACGGCGGAAACCGACCACTGGGCCCAATCGCTCTTCTCGACGTACGAGATGCGGAAGCGGGCGGTCTTCGAGCAGCCGTTCCTCTCGCTTGCGGCGCGGTTCGGGTTAGCGCGGTTGATCCGGGCGCGGATCCGCGATGGGACGCTGCGGCCTTCCCCTTCCCCTTCACCATCCCCTTCACCATCACCGTCGACCGTCCCCGCAGCGGACCATACACCCAACTCAAACCCAGAGCCCCCCCGAAAAATCCCCCTCCTCCCCCAAACCACCCCCTTCCTCGCCCACCGCCGCCAAACTGTCTACCCGCTCGCCCACCCCCAGCTCCTCCGCGACCTGCTGGAGGCCGGCTTCCGCCCGAACCAGCCCTACACCGACCTCCAGGGCAGAACGCGCACGCCCTGGATCGATGTGCTCGCCGCCCTGCGGGAGGCGCAGCGCCGCCGCTGGTTGCGGTACTATGATACTGACCCGCAGGGGATGGCCCGGGTCGCGGAGATTGTGCGGGTGTTTGTGGAGGGTGGGGCGGATGTGCGTGCGGTGGTGCCGGCGGATCGGTGGGATCCTGAGGTAAGTGCCGTCGATGTTGTGGGGAGTGTGTGGAGGGGTTTGGGGGCGTGGGAGTTTGGGGTGTTGAGGGGGGTTTTGGTGGGGAGGGGGGGTGTTGGGGTTAGGGAGCGGGAGGAGGGGCTGTTTTTTCGGGTTTGGGGGGTGTATCCTTTTTTTTTTTTTTTTTTTTTTGCCTGGGGGCATAAGGGGGGAATGGATGTATTGGCTGAGGGGCAGGACGGAGGTGATGGTGGACATTGTGAATCTTCGGTTGGAAAGGATGGTTTAGATTGCATATCAGCCAGAGTTCAGTTTTTGGATTGATTGTAAGCTAGATGATAGAGAGGGTATCGTGGAAGTAGAAGAGAAATGAAAGAGGGGTTGCAGAAAAATCAAGATACTTAACAACAGGCTGGAGGGAGATGAAACAGAAACAAAAGATGGTTCAAGAGAAGAGAGAAGAGAGAAGAAAGCTAGTATAAACGAGGTAGAGACTACTAGGGGGCGAAGCGAGGGGTTAGCGTAGAGTCTCGATAGGCAACCCGTGGTGGCACTATCTATATCCCGCAGACCATAAAGAGCAATCTGATCCTGATAGAGCACCCAAGAAGACAACGTCATCTGAGCAGAGGCTTTGTCTTCGGCGGAGACAAACGCCCGTCAGGCACATAACACTGGCGAAAACGGATGCAGCAAACGCACTCCAGCGTGCAGTGCCCGTAAACCGGGCTCGTTTGATCCTTCTTGTCTTCGTTGGCATACAACCCCTTCTGACAACACCCGCACGACCGTGCGCAGCACCCCCCGGCTTTGGCACATTCTCGTTGCGAGTCCACGAAGTCGTACGGCTGCCCATGCTCATTCCTATATTCGTGGCCGGCCAGAAACAGCGCCATGGTTGGACCTGTCGGGTGTGGACGCCCTCGGTACAGTTCCTGCAGCCGAAGTTGATGCTTCCAGTAGTCTTTACGAAGCTGGGTCATCTCTGCCTCAAGGCAAGAATCTTCCGGAATGGGTTCCACGTAGATCGGCGGCGGCATGCTGTCGCGTACTGTCGTGAGAATCTGCCCGTCTTCTCCTCGAGGGTGCCGGTGAAGCTTCTTTGAGCTGCGTGGCCCGAGCAGCTGCAGACGATGCAGGCGCTGGAGGATGAGGATGCCCAGTGCTGCTTCTTCGGTGTATTTCCCTGCCCATTCCTTGACGGCATCTTGATAACGGTAGTTTTCATCAGCAGACAACCTGCGATACCGATTCTTCGCGTACTTGTACTTTTCCCTGCATTCTGTCTCCTTGGAAACCGGGACGGTTCTGTCCACTGATTTGGACGTGTGAGTCGGTTTGGTCTTTGACCCCTTCCAAGACCAGAATGGCATATTGAATTAGGTAGAGGGATCAGCAAGCTTATTGTGTAGCGTGCTGGATATTAGGAGAGTGCATGAGGATGAGTAGTAGCAAGTCCATGAATAGAAGAATATTTGTCGCCATCAAGTCGCATGGCGACGACCCGGCTCAGGGTATGATGCGATGTTAAATCATTGCGGCAGTCTAAGCCGGGCATTCTGATGAGGTTGTGACTATGGAGTGATGAATTCATTCTGATTCTACTGAAGTGTGAGTCAACGGGCTCATCTTTTATATGTCTAGACTTTAGAGTCAAGGTCAATGGTACGTGCTCCAGAGAGAATCATGCTGGGCGGTGGCAGAATGAGTCGACGCCGGTCTCACTGCTTTCTGCTCTGAGTGTTGCTTCAAAAGATCCATATTCACGTCGTACAGCTTCTTGGAACTGGAAAGTGGCAGAAAGATTCACTCACCACCGCCCGGCGAGTCTCACCGCTTCCTGCTTCGAGTGCGTCTATCTTTCAGTCCGCCTTCCTGCCTTAATGCCTGAAATACTTGCGGCTAAATGCGGGTTCGGTGCCTGACGTTCCCGCCCGACGGCTAAGGCAACCAGCATCAACAGAGGAACCAACCAGCGCCGCTTACGTACGAACCGCGGCTGGTCGTCATTCCGAAGCTCCCCTGCTTGCTAAGTTGCTTGCCTGCTTGCCTGCTTGCTTGCTCTTTTCTCCGCACCTTATTTACAACTCACCCTCTCCCATTCCCCCCATCACTCTCTCGACTCTTCATCCCTCTTTGCATCAATTTCATTCAGTATCTCTCTTATGCCATCATCCCCTCAACCTCCTTTGTCTGACTAGCTACAACCTATCTCCCCTCAGGAGCAATGCGGGGATACCGCTTAATCCCCATCCTCGCGGGTCTTGGCGCTCTCCTACCCCAGACTCACGCCCAGGACAGCTCCGGCTACACCGATATCCACGAGCCCGGCCGCTGCGCCCTCCGCGGGCATTGCGGCAAGAAATCATTCTTTGGCGGAGAGCTCCCTTGTCCCGACAATGGGCGTGCCAAACAGCCCGAAGCGGCGGTGAGGAAGAAGCTGGTCGACCTGTGCGGTAGCAAGTGGCAGGATGGGCCCGTGTGTTGTGAGGATGAACAGGTATGTCATGCCACCCGATCTTGCCCACCAACCCAGGAACATCCTCTTAACGGCCCGGACCATTAGATCGACGCGCTTTCGAAGAACCTCAAACTCGCGGAAGGAATCATCGCCTCATGTCCCGCCTGCAAGGAGAACTTCTTCAACATCTTCTGTACTTTTACCTGCTCGCCCGACCAGTCTCTCTTCGTCAATGTCACGCAGATTGAGCAGAATGGCTCGGGCAAGAAGCTGGTCACGGAGATCGACAATGTCTGGTCGGAGGAATACCAGAGTGGCTTCTACGACAGCTGCAAGAACGTGAAGAATGGCGCCTCAGGTGGCAAGGCCATTGACTTCATCGGAGGAGGCGCCAAGGACTATTCCCATTTCATGAAGTTCCTGGGAGACAAGAAGCTACTGGGAAGCCCCTTCCAGATCAACTTTAAGACGGAACCGGCGGGTTCGGACCCCCAGGGCATGGAAGCCTTGCCGATCAAGCCCAAAGCATGCAATGACCCCGACGAGGCCTTCCGCTGCTCCTGCGTCGATTGTCCAGATGTCTGTCCGGAACTGCCTGCCGTCAAGACAGATCGTTACTGTCACGTCGGCCTGCTGCCGTGCTTGTCCTTCGCAGTAATCCTCATCTACTCGGTCTTCCTATTGACCGTCGTCGCCGCGTCGAGCTACTTCACCTATCGGGAGCGGCGGTACCGCAAGCCTGAGCGGGCTAGGCTTCTGCAGGATCCGGCCCCTAGCGACGATGAGGACGAAGGCGACATTGTGCGAGCAGGCGGTTATATTGAACAGCCTAACGGTGTCTACAAGCTCAACTCTGCTCTGGACCGAATGTTCAATCGGATCGGCGGTGCCTGCGCTCGGTTTCCGGCAATTACTATCATTACCAGTACTATTTTGGTTGGGGTTTTGAGCCTAGGATGGCTGCGGTTCGCCGTCGAGACTGATCCGGTTCGCCTGTGGGTGAGTCCGACCTCGGCGGCCGCGCAGGAGAAAGCCTATTTCGATGAGCATTTTGGACCATTCTACCGAGCCGAGCAAGCTTTCCTAGTCAATGAGACCGGACCAGTGCTGAGCTACGATACGCTCAGCTGGTGGTTTGGTGTAGAGCTGAGGGTGCACCGGACATTGTCCCAAGGGCGAGGACTCCTTCTCGACGACGTTTGCTTCAAGCCTACTGGCGATGCTTGTGTGGTCCAGTCTCTGACTGGTTATTTCGATGGCTCGTTGTCGAATTTAGACCCCGACACCTGGCAAGAACGACTCCAGCATTGTACCGAGTCCCCTGGAGATGTAAGCTGTTTGCCCGCCTTCGGGCAGCCTTTAAGACCCGAAATGATTCTTGGTGGATATGAAAAGACCGGCAACGTGCTCGATGCACAGGCGTTGTTTACAACATGGGTGGTGAATAACTATGCACAAGGGACAGAAGAGGAAGCAAACGCCATCGACTGGGAAGAAACCATCCAGCAGATTCTGCGAGTCGTGCAAGAAGAGGCCGAAGACCGCGGTCTCCGAGTGTCTTTCAACACAGAAATCAGCGTCGAGCAGGAACTAAACAAGTCCAGCAACACGGATGCGAAGATCGTGGTCATCAGCTATATCATCATGTTCATCTACGCGTCCCTGGCCTTGGGATCGGTCACGGTGACCTGGAAGTCCCTGCTCACGAACCCGGCTAACGCTCTGGTGCAATCTAAGTTTACCCTTGGTATTGTGGGTATCATCATCGTTCTGATGTCCGTTTCTGCTTCGGTTGGACTGTTCTCCGCGGCAGGCATCAAGGTCACATTGATCATCGCGGAGGTCATCCCGTTCCTTGTATTGGCCGTCGGCGTGGACAATATCTTCCTGATCGTTCACGAATTTGAAAGGATCAACCTTAGCCATCCGGACGAAGAGATCGACGAGCGAATCGGTCGTGCAGTTGGCCGCATCGGCCCCAGTATCTTCCTCTCCGCTGCAACGGAGACGATTGCCTTTGCTCTCGGCGTCTTCGTTGGAATGCCGGCTGTCAAGAACTTCGCAGTTTATGCGGCAGGAGCCGTCTTCATCAATGCCGTCTTGCAGGTCACCATGTTCATCTCGGTTCTAGCACTGAATCAAAGACGCGTCGAAAGTTTACGTGCTGATTGCTTCCCGTGCCTGACCGTCCGCAAGGCCCATTCTGGGATGTCTGAAGACCAGGTACTAGATGAGCACGATGGAGAAAGTATCTTACAATCATTCATTCGCAAGGTCTATGCTACTTTCTTGCTAGAGCGCAAGGTCAAAGTCTTCGTGGTGATTACATTCTTAGGCCTTCTGACGGCTGGTATCGCTTTAGTTCCCGAGGTCGCCCTCGGCCTGGACCAGCGCATCGCTCTACCTAGCGACTCCTATCTGGTGAAGTACTTTGACGACCTGGACGCTTACTTTGGAAGTGGACCGCCAGTGTACTTCGTGACAAGGAATGTCAACGTCACCGAACGTCGTCATCAACAACAATTGTGTGGACGGTTCACGACCTGTGAAGAGTTCTCTCTGCCATTTGTCCTGGAACAGGAATCCAAGCGTCCGAACGTTTCTTACATCTCCGGATCAACTGCGAGCTGGATTGATGACTTTTTCTACTGGTTGAACCCGCAAGACGACTGCTGCAAGGAGGACGGCGAAGTCTGTTTCGAGGACAGGACTCCGGCATGGAACATATCTCTTTATGGCATGCCCACAGGGCAGGAGTTCATGCACTATGCTGAGAAGTGGATTCAAGCTCCGACGGACGCTTCTTGCCCTCTCGGAGGCAAAGCTCCCTACAGCAATGCGCTCGTCCTCGATCCGAAACGGATCATGACCAATGCCACTCATTTCAGAACAACCCACACCCCTCTCCGAAGCCAAGATGACTTCATCAAGTCTTACATCTCAGCCCGCCGCATCGCTGACGGTCTCTCCAAGGAGCATGATATTGACGTTTTCCCCTACTCGAAAACCTATATCTACTTTGACCAATATGTGTCGATCATTCGGCTGACCGGGACCTTGCTTGGTTGCGCAATTGCTATCATTTTCATCCTCAGTTCTGCTTTACTTGGCTCCGTGACTACTGGAGCGGTGGTAACGACCACTGTGGTCATGATAATGATCGACATCATTGGGGCGATGGCAGTCGCCGGCGTATCGCTCAACGCTGTCTCCTTGGTCAACCTGATCATCTGCGTGGGCATTGCGGTCGAGTTCTGTGCACATATCGCTCGTGCATTCATGTTCCCCTCGCGGGCTATCTTGGAGAAGGTGCCGACCAAGTTCCGGGGCAAGGACGCGCGGGCATGGACTGCTCTGGTCAATGTCGGCGGAAGTGTTTTCAGCGGGATCACAGTGACCAAGCTCCTCGGTGTCTGTGTCCTGGCTTTTACCCGCAGCAAGATCTTCGAGATCTACTATTTCCGGGTTTGGCTGGCACTGGTCCTGTTTGCGGCCACCCATGCTCTCGTGTTCTTGCCGGTGGCCCTCAGTTACTTTGGTGGAGAAGGTAAGCAACCAGTGACAGCTTTGTGATATTGTATGAGTGACTCGTTGCTAACAATAAATACAGGATACGCTGATCCTGGAGCTGACGGGGGCCTCGAGGAGAATCTTGCTGCGCGGGGCTACCGTTCCCTGCTGGTCGATGACGATTACGACTCTGACGAATACTAAATGTAGTACGGGAAGCTACAGAATTCGGATGAACACCTACTGTTGTGGGTGATCTATAATGCCCAATGGCCAAGATGATTTATTGCAACTCATGTCACACATAGTGGTCTGAAATACCGTTTCGTAGTCTTTTGTTTTTCTTTTTCGCTATTATTGCAGTGTGCGGGCTGGGAGTTATCATGGTTGTCGTTCAAGGAGTCTGGTATTCGAGTACATTTGCACTGTGTATCTGGTAGCAATCTACAACTAGACCTGCAGCTTTTGCCGCTGTCGCTAGTCAGCTCTTCCTACCTGACTTATGCAATTTCAAACTTTCCCTGGGTCCCCACCCATGAGACGAAGAGACCGACGAGGGTTGGCTATCCGGGTTTTGTATTTGATATAATCGAGCTGAGCCTCGATCACAGGGATATCCGAGTTCCAACTCAGCACCGTCTCGGCCTCGAAGGTTGCCGACACTGGCGCGTCACAACACCCGTCTTCCTCCGGTAGACCCTTCTGTGTAAAGACGACCTCGTCTCCCATCTGCAGGGCCCCGTACATTCCCTGAGTTCCTGGCCGTTCCCTCACGTACTGGTCCCACAGATGCCGCTCGATGTCGGCCAGGTCCTTCCAACCAGCGGACCGCTTGACTTCCTCCTCTGGGGCCTCGATGATCGTCAGCACGAAGCATCGGCCTCTGCCGTCCATTTCGACGGTGACCATCCGGTACAGGTCCTGGAATGCTTCGCGCGTCCGGCCCAGCAAGTCTTTGACGGTGTAGCCCTCGCCCGCGGGAAAGACGTTCCGGAGCTTCTCCAGCCACTGCTCCTGCTTGCGTTTCAGCGTCGCGGCGGCGGGCAACATCCTTGCGACTTCTCCTGCTGGCATTGCAAATCACGGGGGGTTTGTTTATGCGTGCGGATGTGGGCTGGGTATGTGGAAGTCGGGGTTGTGGGGGGGGTGTGATGGAGTGAAGTGGACTAACTACTACTCGATTGGGTGCTTTTATAGTTCTCGAGGGAGTGCGGAGACGTGGCTTGCTTTGTTATTTTGCTTTGCTTGGGATTATGGAGCTTTCTTTGAGCCATTGTGAAGAGGGGGGAATTCCGCTGTGCGTGCTTGATCCTTTCAAAAGAAGCTTGCAGTTTGTTGCATGGTACTTTTCAGGCTTTTCTGGACTCTAATGTGAGCTGGTTTATGGTGTGTCTCTGTTGGGGTGGAGTCTGGCATCCTTGTTCATCTGCGGTCAGGTACTGATGATAATGGTTATCGAGAGATGTGTTCAGGTTATCCGCCAGTTAAATTTTGTTTGCTTTGTCCAGTAATTTGGAATGTTATGTGTATACTAGGATTAATCCTATGGCACAGAATCCGAGAGGTTGCGTCGATTGTCTGGGGAGGTAGGTTAGTGATAGGTCAGCTACCGAGTACGCAGTAGTAGTACTACTACTCAGGGCTGTGCCGAGCCCCCGCCGTCTTAGCTGTTCATGCAGCAAATCAACATGTACTGTACTGTACGTAGACTGGATCAATCAAATCAGGCAGCAGGGGGGTTCGTTGCCTCTTGCCCATCGGTTCGTTGCCGACCATGATATCGAGTCGAGGCGAATGCATGCAGCTTTCCGTAGTCCCATGTGGAATCGGATCATCTTGCATGTACTCCGTACGGTGTACTGTTAACTTTTACTTGTGTAGTTGTTATGAGCACAAACAGTGGAGTTCGGGCACCGACCCAAAGCAGTAACCATGCTTACCATGCTTACCATGCTTACCATTACCACAGCAAAACACCCTTTTATAGTGGTGTAAGTTACCCGGCCGCTACATCAAAACCGAGTATTACAGACCGCTAGCCCGGAAGGGGCTAAATGCGCGCCGCTGAACAAACTCTCCAAATTCCCCCCACCCATAATTTTTTTTTTTTTCTCCCTCTGCCTCTCTCCGCCCATTTATTGCCGATTTTTTCCCCTCCATCTCCTTTTTTTTTTTTCCTTCTCTCTCTTCTCTTTTCTTCTTCACTCTCCTCCCTCTCTCTTCTTCATCCTTCTCCCTCCTCCTCTCCTCCTCCCTCCTCCCTCTTTTCCTTGTTGTGTGTCTCTCTTTCCTTTTTGTGCCATCTTTGTTTTTGTGATACCCTACGAGTTGTCCAGCTTGTGTAGCCGGCTCTCGTCAAACTCGTCAGTTCCTCTCTGAAAAGAAGGATCTGCTCTTTTACCCCTCCGTGGGATCTTTGAAACCATTCCATCTTCACAGAAGTTTGTTACACACGTCATGGATCAGCAACGATTCCTGCAACAACTTCAGATTGTCCTGAACCGTGAGTTCTCCCTTGACACTGCTACAGTTATGGTCGTCGTGAATGGAGAAGACTAACTATCTATCCTGTGTAGCCTCGCAGGGCAACGTTAAGGAGGCCACCGGCATCCTCCAGCGCGAATTCTACAAGCAGCCCGAGTCCCTGGTTTTCCTGATTCAGATCGCCACCAGCCACGAGGATGCCAACTTGAGACAGTTGGCTGCCGTCGAGGCCCGGTCTCTCGTGGTCAAGCACTGGGTTGCTGTCCAGGCCAACCAGAAGCCCCAGATCCGTGAGCAGCTGCTGCGCTCTGCTCTCGGTGAGGCCTCTTCGTTGGTCCGCCACTCCGTCGCTCGCGTCATCTCTGCCATCGCCAAGATCGACTTGAACGATGGCGAGTGGGCCGAGCTGCCCAACTTCCTGCTGCAGGCTGCTAGCAGCGGCAACAAGGAGGAGCGTGCCGTCGGTGTTTACATCCTGTTGACCATTCTGGAGACTCTGGGGGACGCGTTCGAGGAGAAATTCGAGGACCTGTTCAACCTCTTCAGCAAGACCATCAGTGACCCCGAGAGCTCGGAGGTCCGCATCAACACCCTCATGGCTCTGAGCAAGCTCGCTATGTACCTGGACTCCGAGGAGAACATGGGCCCTGTCCGCGCTTTCCAGAACCTGCTGCCCTCCATGGTGGCTGTCCTCAAGGATGCCATTGACAAGGAGCAGGATGACGAGGTCATGCAAGCTTTCGAGGTCTTCCAGACCCTGCTCGGCTGCGACCCTGCTCTCATGACCGTTCACCTAAAGGACCTCGTTGTCTTCATGAACGAGATCGCCTCCAACACTGAGGCTGATGAGGACACCCGTACTCAGGCCATCAGCTTCCTGATGCAGTGCATCCAGTACCGCAAGCTGAAGGTTCAGGGCATGCGCATCGGTGAGCAGCTCACCCGCAGCGCCCTCCAGATCGTCACTGAGCTCGGTGACGCTTCCGCCCTGGATGACGACATCACCCCTGCTCGCTCCGCCCTTGGTCTGTTGGACATGCTCGCCCAGAGCCTTCCCCCCAGCCAGGTGGTCGTTCCCCTGCTCCAGTCCCTTGGCCAGTACTTCAACAACACCAACCCCGACTACCGTCGCGCTGGTATCATGGCTCTCGGCATGGTTGTTGAGGGTGCTCCCGACTTCATCAGCACTCAGATGAAGGAGATCTTCCCCATGGTCCTTCAGCTCCTGGCTGATCCCGAGCCCAAGGTTCGCCAGGCTACCCTCCACGCTGTTGCTCGTCTCGCCGACGATCTGGCCGAGGACCTGAGCCAGGAGCACGAGAGATTGATGCCTCTGCTCTTTAAGAACTTGGCTAGCGCCATGCAGGAGTACAAGGGTGAGGAGGATGGTCCTACCATCGACATCATGAAGGCTGGGATCAGCGCCATTGATGCCGTCGTTGATGGCCTCGATGAGAAGGATGTTGCTCCCTACCAGACCGAGTTGGTTCCTATCCTCCACAAGCTCTTCAAGCACCCCGACTTCAGAATCAAGGGTCTTGCTGCCGGTGCTCTCGGCTCTTTGGCCTCGTCTGCCGGTGACTCCTTCCTGTCCTTCTTCGATGAGTCCATGCATCTCCTCCAGGAGTATGCCACCGTCAAGGATAGCGAGGAAGAGCTCGATCTCCGCGCCAGCGTTACCGACGCTATGGGCGAGATGGCCGCTGCTGCTGGTCCTGAGCGCTACCAGCCCTATGTTGAGCCCCTCATGCGTGCTACCGAGGAGGCTCTCCACCTTGGTCACTCCCGTCTCAAGGAGAGCACCTACATCTTCTGGGGTGCCATGTCCAAGGTCTACGCCGAGCACTTCTCGCCTTTCCTCGACGGTGTTGTCAAGGGTCTGTTCGCTTGCATCGAGCAGGACGAGACTGATCTGGATGTCTCCCTGGGTGAAGCCGCCAAGGATCTCGTCGGCCAGGAGGTGACCATCGGTGGTCGCAAGGTCCGTGTCGCCAGCGCTGATGATGACGATGAGCCTGTCGGTGAGGATGGTGAGATTGAGGACGTTGATGTTGATGAGGATGAGGATGCTTGGGATGATATCACTGCCACCACTCCCCTCTCTTTGGAGAAGGAGATTGCCGTCGAGGTCATCGGTGACCTTGTTACCCACACCAAGGCCGCGTACCTCCCCTTCTTCGAGAAGACTATCGAGATGGTTCTCCCTCTCGCTGAGCACCCTTATGAGGGTGTCCGCAAGAGCACCATTAGCACTCTCCACCGCTCTTACGCTATGCTGTACTGCATTGCTGAGGAGAGCGGCCAGATGGAGAAGTGGAAGCCTGGTCTTCCCCTTCAGGTCGAGCCTGCTCGCGAGGTGCAGAAGTTCGGTGAAATCCTCATGACCTGCACTATCAAGATGTGGACTGAGGAAGATGACCGGTACGTATACATACTTTTTCTTTTTTCTTTCACACGCAAAGATATTGTCCGCAAATGCGGGTCAATTTATATGATGATCACCTCGTTTACCCAGCTCACTCAGACACACAAAAGTTGTGCATGCTGTCAACCACGATTTACTCACAACCTTCTGATATTTTGATTCTCTTGCTGCTTTTATCACTTCATTCTCTGGTTACCACAGTTTCTAACCAGACACTCTTAGGGCTACCGTCGCCGACATCAACCGCAACATGGCTGAGAACCTCCGCTACTGCGGTCCCGCTCTCATTGCCAACGAGACCACCCTGCACAACGTCATCACCATGATCACTGATATCATCACCAAGAAGCACCCTTGCCAGCTCGAGTTCGGTCCCGAGGAGGAGACCCTCGAGGCCGGTGAGGAGACTTCCGAGTTCGACTGGGTCGTTGTTGACACTGGTCTTGACGTTGTCTCTGGTCTGGCCGCTGCTCTCGGCGCGACCTTCGCTGAGCTCTGGAAGGTCTTCGAGAAGATCATCATCCGCTACGCCGGCAGCTCCGAGGCTCTTGAGCGTGCCACCGCTGTCGGTGTCCTCGCTGAGTGCATCAACGGCATGGGTGCCGCTGTGACCCAGTTCACCCCTGCTTTCCTGAAGCTTCTCGTCCACCGTCTTGGCGATGAGGATCCCCAGACCCGCTCCAACGCTGCCTACGCTGTTGGTCGCCTCATCGAGCACTCCAACGCCAACGACCAGATCGTCAAGGAGATCCCCACCATCCTCTCCCGTCTCGAGCAGTGCCTCCACATGAATGCCTCTCGTCTCCAGGACAACGCCACCGGATGTCTGTCCCGCATGATCCTCAAGCACCGTGAGAGCGTCCCTATCAAGGATGTCCTTCCCGTCCTCGTCTCCATCCTTCCTCTCAAGAACGACTACGAGGAGAACGACCCCCTGTTCCGCATGATCTGCCAAATGTGTAAGTACTTCTCAAGACACGCATCCCTTGCACAGTCCGCTAACTTGACAACAGACAAGTGGGAGGACCCCACCGTCCGCGAGCTGACTCCTCAGTTCCTGCCCATCTTCCAGGCCGTCCTCTCTGACCCCGATCAGCTTGAGGAGGAGCGCCGAGCCGAGGTCATCGAACTCGTCAAGTGGCTCAACCAGATGCAGCCTGGTTCCGCCCCTTGGGCCGAGCAGTTGTAAATAGCTGGTTTGAGTGACGTGATGACACAAGTTCGATGAACCACACAAAAAAACATACCCCTTTACTTAATGGATAGACTGGGTCTCTTGAGACACAAACAAAAGAGGGACGACATGATGGATGATGCTAGAAGATACCCCAGGGTCTGGACTGCGGCCTTGTACGAACGCACCTTTTGATAAGATAGATCTGATCGCTTTGGATATGACGAATCATGACTCCCAAAAGTCGGATTGTAAATACATTTATTTATTTTTCTTCTCTACCTCTACTCTTTTGATGCGTAGTTGCATTGTAGATGGCTTGTATGTCTTTTTGCTGGGGCGTAGTAGCTGGTCCAGTGTATCGATTTTTGACTGACGCATGAGGGATGTCGTCTCCGGACATGGAACGGATGGATTCATAGCCGAACGGTTTCCCTTTGGACATGATGTTTGTAGGACAAGTCCCCAAGTTTGTGCTGACGTGAGAGGCAACAACAGGTACTCGTGTATTAGACCCCCTTGGTCTCATTGAGTAGCTATAGATAGCATCAATATCTCTTCAGTGGGCATATTGATTTCACCATGATCCAGCGATCGGATCGCGGTACAATACTCCATAGGCTGTGCTGTTCTCTGTGGGCAGAACAGTACAGGACGCACAGCGCCGGTAGTCTCCTCTCTGGCGTGGCTTACGAGGGAGGTAAAGTTGCACGACGTAACCGGTGTTGTGTTTGTGATTGTGATTCCAATTATTGGTTGATAACAATGGTTGGTGTTCGTTCCGTGATGCATGCCATGCCATGCCTTTTTGAACTGTTTGTTCCTTACAAGACCAAAACACTAAAAAAAGTCAACCAAGCCCTTGAAGGGCTTGGAGGAACAGTCACTCCGATAGGGGGAATCGAACCCCCGGCTGCCGTGCACCGAAGCAATTGAGAGACGGCGATGTTAGCCACTACACCATATCGGATGTGGTATGAATTGAAGCTGTGTAAAAGACCGCTATGTTCCAAAGCTGAGCCCCCCCCCCCCCCCAGCTTCGGCAGGAGAGGTAAAAGGTCAGCCCAGGCAAAAGGGTCAGCCCGGTCGAACAAAAGCATTTTCACATTCGCAGGCCGCTAGCTACACTCTTGCGGTACTGTACTGTACTTCCGAGAGTGCTCCCGCGGCGGATATATATATTTTCTTCTTCGATTCTTCAAACCGGGCTGTTGCCTATCCGGAAGAAATACGAGTAACTCGGCAACCGACAGTCCCCAGATCTTACTCCACGTGTACTATGCACCCGCATCGGAGCCTGGCTTTGGCATCAGGGACTAACGACATCACTTGGACATGTAACATCTCCCCGTGTCTGCCGGACCGAAGGGAGGATGGAGGATTGTTATTCGGGCGGTTCGGGAGCGTGTCACGTGATACAGATCGGCACCTCATGGCCAGGAGCTTTACAAGCGGGGCATGGTGAATGAATGGTGGAGAACGCTCAGCTGACCTGAAGTTACTACTCATATGAGCCCAGCTTAGGATGCAAGGCCCTGACCTTGCGGCAAGGAACCTGCTTCTGTGGAAAAAGCCGGTGGGTTTCTTGATATTGGTATACAGTACACCTGCCTCTACAATGGTGTCGGGCCATACTGAGCATTATCGAGATACGTATGCCATTCCGGTGAGACCCTGCTGGCGAGATCTTGTGTTGCTATTAGTGGGCACCGGGTCCTTGATTGCACGACACAATACTGTGGAGTGATGAGACGGCGTCTCTCCGGACAAGGGCGGAATCGGTATTCTGTGCCGGAAGTCTATATGTCCTTATTATGCTTTACGCTTCTGATGGCCGCGGTTGTTGTGGGGCTCTAGCGTGCGTTTGCGTCAATGCTTCTGGCGTTGCGACTGTCGGTGATGTTACCGCGGGCTTTTCTTGCTGGTGTCGTGTTTCGGCTCTTTTCTAGTCCCGAGATTTTCATGATGATCGAGTATGAATCTCAGATGATGGTACAGGGTATAATAACGAAGGTGGAAGACAAGTTCAGAGAGCGGAGGTATCTCAAGTAGGGACTGAAGCCTAGAGGACAAGAGTGGCGCTCGATGGGAAAGAAAGTGGAGTAGTCGAGTAGTTGACTTGGATCGACGTATCTGTGTCAACATGGCGACTGGGTGGTTTAGATGACCGAGATGAATGGACTGCTTGTGGGTGTTTGCGTTGCATTTGGACTGCAATAATCCTGTTTGCTCGCGGACTCCATTGATCCTATTTTCAAGGCTCAGGATACTCACGGCTGGAAGTGCCTTGTTTGTCCAAGAAGTTCGGAAGTTTCTTGATTTTGCAGACAAACCTCGATATTGGTGTTCCTACCCTGGGGTATAGACAAGGCCGGGGCCCGGTGGTAGATCGGCAGTAATCAGTATATGGTTCGGGGCTTTGAGCCGAGAGCTTCTTCGAATTAGCCCGGGTCCGGTGGATGTTCTCCGGGAAAACAGAGTTCCTGCGCCTTCGTCTTGTTGGAGGAGTTGAACTAGCAGGGTAGTTTCCAGGTTGCTGTTGCCTCCGGCAAGAAACCACTGTCCACTCTTGGCCTGACAGATCCCCCTAAAGCTTCTGGGACCTTTCACAATCGGTGCGATGATGTAGCTGTGATGGTAGGAAGTCGGATGCATTTCCATCGCGTGAGACCCTTGGCGTACGTTAGTACTGGCCATATGGCATGTCACGCTGCGTTGCGTGAGTATTACATGTTAGCTCGACACCATGGGTCCGGGATGCGAAGCTATAGTAGTAGTGGCTCGTCATGGCAATATGCTAACCATGGTTTATTGCGATAATCAGATCTTCGAGGTCAATTCAGAGCATGAGACCCATTGAACCATAGATTGTGTAGCGGATTATCGAAGCTGGAAGAAAACAAACAGCGGTGTACATTGGACATAATATGTAGAAGCCTTGGCGTAAATGTAAATGCCAGCCGGAAGACTAGTTTGAAGACGGCTCAAACAGTAAGATTATTACCAAAGCTTGATACGAGTCCAGGTTCGGCTGCACGTTGTTTTTCATTCCAGATGTACACGGTTGGAAACAAGTAACCATTTTTCTAATCCTCGATTAGGAAGAAGGTTTCCTGATCTTGTCCGAGTACAGCCTGGTTCCGAAAAGCCTAAAAAGCATAAACCGGTATCGTTGAGTTTAGCCGGAATTTGGAAGTATAATGCTTCATTCAGCAAAGCCTCCCGTGCTTTGGAGATGCTGTTGCAGTTCAGCTCGCAACCAGCTGGTGGCATAGGTCGTCTGTGAGGCAAATTTGACGACGCAGGGTTGCATGACCGCGTACAAATAGTACGTCACATCTCTTGGAAGTCCAGGTCAAGTGTGCTCATTCCGAATTCAGAGGATGGAGCGCTTTACCATGCAGCCATTATCAACTATTGATCTTCTCTCAACTGAGCTCTTTCAGCTCCATTACAAGAATGCCTCACGAAAAGAACGTCTGGAGCTTTCTTACCTGCGAGCCAGGGCCATTGCCAAACATTGGGGTCAGTCAAACCCAAACGTAAGCTTCCAGGCTAATGTGGTCTAGCATTGACCTTGGACGACGTCGTTCGTGTTTCACCAAAGTCCCAGCGTGCTCACATGGATGGTATCATCGTACGGGATCCGGTCGCGCACATTAATCTGAGCATACAGTATAACCTCGTCGTGGGCACTCTCGCCACCTATGTGAAGAAAAGACCGGATCTGGAGCCTCTTATCAGGGAGTTTCTTGAGTTTGATATATGGTAAGCCTTGGTTAATACTTGTGTAGACTCTTGCTCAAGTATGTCTTGTCTGCAGTGGGGCTTTCATGCTAAACGAAGTTGGTCATGGGTGTGATGCAAGAAATCTCGAGACTACTGCCTCATGGGAGTCTGATGGCGGATTCAATCTGAACACCCCGAACCGGAACGCGGCCAAGTATGTGAAACATGGCAGCAACGGAAAATGCGAATGCTAAGAGGAACAGGTTCATGCCACCATCCATGCCGATGGCGGGAATTCCTCGAGTTGCACTGGTCATGGCACGCCTTCTCGTCGAAGGAGAAGATCGAGGGATTCGACCCTTCGTGGTTCCCATCAACGACGGTTATCGGATGTGCCAAGGTGTCAAGTCATGGCAAGTGTCCATCAAATGCCTAGAAGTTTAACCGTTGTCTAACTTCTTCAGGCTTCTTCCGCCAATTGGCTGCGGCGAAATGCTTGATCATAGCCTGACGACCTTTGATAATGTGCGTCTAGAAGCAAGTGCTATGCTTGGAGACCTGGTCAAGCCTGGAAATCTGCGTGCTCAATTCCTGTTCGCTATTAGCCAACTCCGGCTTGGATCCCTAGCCCTGAGTCTATGGACTATCCCTTTCTTGAAATGTGCTGCGTTTATTGCAGGAAAGTACAGTCAGCAGCGTACAGTCCAGGAGGGTGTTCAGGGAGAAAGGGTCCCGATTCTCAGCTTCAGGACTCAGCAGCTGCCAATCGCGCGTGCCTTGGCCCACGTTGCCGTCATGGAACCGCTAGTGGAGTGGGTAGTGTCCCAGCAGAACAATTCGTCCCTCGGCATTATGTCTAGGCATGCACTCAGTGCGGCGCTCAAGTCCCTGTTCGTATTCAATGGACAAGAAAGCCTCAGTGCTTTAGTCGAGAGAAGTGGTGCGCAGGGGATGTTTCCCGAGAATCAGATGGCAAATGTGGAGGTACGCTGTTCTGACTGCTCGATTGCCCAGGCCGTTATATTGACATAGGTCAGTCTCTGACACGATGTACGAGCATCGCAGAAGGAGAGCTTCTTGTTCTTTGCATCCGTAAGTCACGTTTGACCTATCGAACCATTGGGTATGATCCCGTCTGACCTATTATTAGGTCATGCCACAGAGATCCTGCTCGAACGTTGTGAGATCCCCGAAGCAGAAAACCCCACGTCGTTGTTGGCTAAACATGAGAGCGGTCTCATTGCTGAGTTACGGGAGCTGCTCAAAACCTTCAAGGGTCACAGAAGTCCTGAGTACAACAAGTTCATCCTGCCTCGATGTCGACCAATGATGCTGGCAATCGGACAGCGCATGGCTTTTGAGATTGCTGCCAAGCGGGGGGTTGACGGTGACTTGTTGGCCATGTATGAGTCGGAAGCGGTGAGAAGCGACTCCAGCTGGTACGTGGAGTGTTTGGAGCTGAGCAGAGCTGCCCAGTATGAGATGGAGAGTACAGCATGCGATGCTGTCATGTCACAACTTAACAGGCATCTCGATGATCTTGGCATTGAGCCGTACTGCACGGCTCCGATGCTGTCAGGCGCCAAGTGGGACGACTTCGTCAATGTCGCTCGCACATTCACTGCGAAGGCGGACGGGAGGGCAGCAGTCTTCCACCCGAGGCTTTAGGGATAGAGGTCATTGTAGAATACAGAAAAGGTGATTTCTCACTTAATCAAACATGAAAATGAATGGGAGATGTAGATTAGTAGAAACTGACATGGCTGTTGTGTGGTTGTGGTTGTTGTTGTTGTCGATGGGTCGACCGCACGAAGAAAGAGGGCTTGGCGGACGGAATGACGGCCTGACAGCCTGACAGCCTGAGGATCGTGACCCACGTATGACGTTGATGGCTGGGCCCGACCGTCGCTCGCGCTCTCTCTCTCTCTCTCTCTCTCTCTCCAACCCTTCGTTCCCTTCCATACTTATTAGCCCTTCTCTGTTCCTGATCCCTTCTTCTCCAACCAGCCTATCCCCAAGTTTTCCTGTTGCAATCTAGCTTGAACCAAACCACACTCGATACTTCACATTAGACATCGCCCACAATGACCGTCGGATCCTTCTCCTCTCCCGTCAACTTCACACTCCCCTCCTCCAGCTCGGGGTCTTCGATCAGGAAACCGATCAAGACAGTATCCAAGCCTTGCTTTGGCTGTGATTGTGGTGACGAGGAATGCGACTGCTGTATCTGTACCGTGATGTGGTATGCTGTTTTGACCCAGAGGATCATGACTGGAATATACAACTAACAGACACACATAGAACTAGCGTTTACACTTATCCCGCTATTGCACAAGCACTAGTATATATTGCTGCGCCACAAATACTCCTAGCATAGCGACCGACCTCCTTTCAACGAATAGCAACACAACTATCTGTCCGGTCTTTCGAATCGTGTGTGGTGTATTCGGGTGTATGGGTAACAGATTGACGTTTGATGACATGATGCTTTTTTCCCTGTCTTGATATCCCTTCATTGATGGTTCAACATAGCGTATAATTGTTTTCATTTTCTGAATCAAAGGCTTCTTTTTCTCAATGGTTCCAGTCTCGTTCTCTTATGTAATGGAGCCACGGCCCAGCAGTTCTCATGTTCGCTGATAGGACAGAAACAACGAGAAAGAAGAACAGGTCGAGCCACCACATTATCGGGCGTCGAAGTAAGTAAAAAACAGATGCTCATGCCATTTTCTGGACGTTTTGACATCCATTTCAGTTGACAGACCAGATCTCCGAGGCCTCTGCGAGAGCTCCAATCATATTCATGAGTTTATCAACAATCGCAAAGTTGGTCACTTTCCAGCCTTTCGAGTTCCCCGACGCCGGTGAGCCCAGCACCGCCACACACGTTGGCCAGCATTCCAAGGCAGGGATCGGTGACCACCGCAAACACTGGGGCCTAAAGATAGCAACAACCCGAGGTCATTGACTGCTATCGGGTGAAAGGCCAGATGTAACCTCATGGCTGATGCGCCTCAAAGTCAAGCCACACATAAGCGCTTGGAGGTCAAGTATGGCGAGCTACGCGAAGCTAACGGCAGGCTAACCGGGCCAGCGTCTCGACTACTGCACCTCTCCAGGTATAAATCCAATCCAGGCACTATCGCCCCTTGCTAGCTTTGCATGTCAGAGAAAATTGGTCCCTATCACGAGCGAAGGTATTTGGAAAGAGTCATGTACCGACAGGGGTACAGCCTCACACGCTACACTTGCGTTACCCCTCACGGCTGAAGTCAGCTCTCAGAATGGTTGAAGCCGAGCGGAGGTGCTATATAAGTGACAACATGGCTATACTTTGGATCAGTATCATCATCTGTCGCCAATCTTCGAGGCCTAGCATTCAGCAATGTCGACTTGGTTGCCTTTTGTTGTTACCCACGTGAGAGGTTATTTCGGGGACAAGAATCCTGTTCATGATGACCAGACAAAGTCTCGCTTGCCATCAGAAACCCAGATTGATTTGGTCGTCAACACCCCTCGAGAAGCATTTGACGGACCACAAGGAGAATCTCCAGCCGCAATCCCGACACGCAGGGGTCATTCAAACCCAATCAACGATCAAACATGGCAGAATTGGGTAAAGCAAGAGACCGGTCGTTCTTACAAAACGCCTGAAATGCCAACTGAGCCGCATGGCACTTTCTACCAGAGTCAGGAGTCCTATGGACTGCCATCCCCGAACGACAGCATCAGTGAAGAGGGAGAAACCCTAGTGCCCTCGGATTTAGAGTGCAACTCCGATACAGAAGAAGCCGATGTGATCCAAGTGAAACATCTCAATCAGGACGAAATTATCAAGAAAATGATCGAAGCACTAAGCAGAAAGTGTGACAATCAGCCGGGGTATGTGTACACGTTCTATGACCCAAATCCAGAGTCCGAAACCAGCAGCATTGTGAAGGTCGGCCAAGCGATCGATCCCGTTAAACGAAGAGGGCAACACAAAAGTCGTTGCGAGCGCACAAACTGGGAATTGAACCATGCCGGCTCCTTCAGAGGGTACCAATGTGTGGAGCGACTGGTCTTGATCGAACTACACAACCTGCAATCTGACGATGTCTGCAAGTGTGGAACGAGGCACAGAGAGTACTTCAAGGCTGACGAAACAGATGCGTCTGCACTCATTAAATCTTGGCAGACCTGGCTGCAAACGTATGAGCCATATACCAGTACAGGGGTGTTGAAGACTGTCTGGAAAGACCGACTGGACTTGTTCGGAAGCCAGTCTTCGAAGCTTTTCTTGTGCAAAACGTGCGAGACCAACCGGACTGCCACACCAGACCCGAACAAAATAGACTGTTGTATTCGAGCAGGATGGGAAGCATGGGCCAATCCAACATCGGCGACGTACAAATACCAATCCGTCCTTGCTCTAATAAAGGACACCCGCGCGTCTCACTCCTTGACAAAGCTCGCTAGGTGCCTTTTGGCAATCATCTGTCTGAGGCTTCTCATTCCCGCCATATTGCATTACTTTCCACTCATCCCAGCATCGTCAAACGCAATATTCAAGGCGTATGCACTATCATCGGCGCTCGGAGTAGTCTTTGACCTTGGCGTCTCTGCTATCTTGCTCCTTTGGATATCATTCGGGCCGAACCGCGAGATAGCCCCGATTGAAGGGACCAAAGCATCCAAGTCCCCTCGCAAAGAGAGTAAAGCCAGAGCAGATTCAGTCAAGGAGTCATGCACTACCCCGACTAAGTCTCCTAGGAAGAAAGCCGCGGACAAAATGCCGCCGTCGACTCCAAAGAGAACCGATACTAAGACACCTAGGTCTTCTCCAGCTCTTCAGGAAGGGAAGGAAGTCAGAGTGAGGCCAGGTCAAGAGCCATCCGTTACTCCGACCAAGACTTCTAAGACCAGAAGTGTTGGCAGAAGATCGAAAAAGGTATCGGATAGTCCCCCGACAGTTGGGAATGAGACAACAGCCACCAATGTCAGCAGTAACATGACACCTCCGCACCAGTCGGCAATGACTTGGCCTATAGATACCTCGACTTCCCCTGCACTTGCCAAGATAATTGAGAGCTCATTGGACTCCAATCCAGTCAGGTAGTGGGCAACAAATCGGCCGTGCCATACTGGATTTTTGTGAATGCCGTTCTATGGACAAGACCTCACTATATGTATAAGCTTGTTTGTACGGAGTACAGGGTCCATTGGATGACCTATATCTTCTACTGTTTTCTGTTTTGAGGCAGAATGATCTGCAGCTGTTTGTGATGACTTTTCCGCGGTTAGTCTTGGCATGACTCTTTCTTGGTTGTCTCCGCACCCTCATTCCCATGTTCCATTCGAGGGTCGAGACCCTCGCGTTTCTTTATTAGCGCTCTTATTGACTAACAAGTGGAACAAACTCGGGTATACATCGGCGTGACTCATTCTGATCCATCTACAAGTACGACCTTGTTTTATTGGAATCTATGGCCTCGACCACTAAAAGTTTCCCAAACCTCGGCCAACACACTTCAGTATCCGTACAGCAACAGCAAGCACCATGACCGTTGCACCCGCATCCTCCAGTATAGACCTGATCGGCAACACGCCGGTGGTCCGCCTCCGCAAAGTCGTCCCCGACAACCATGCCGACATCTTCCTCAAAATCGAAACCGGCAACCCCACCGGCTCGCACAAAGATCGAATGGCGCGGTCGATGATCGAGGAGGCCGAGCGACGGGGAGACCTCCGACCCGGAATGACCGTAGTCGAAGCCACAGGAGGGAGCACCGGCTCCGCGCTCGCCTTCATCTGCGCCGTCAAGGGCTACAAGTTCCTGGTGGTCTCGTCCGACGCCTTCGCCACGGAAAAGATCCGGACGATGCGTGCCCTGGGCGCAGAGGTTGAGCTCATCCACAGTCCCTCAGGCCAGATCTCGCCCGATCTGGTCCCATCCATGATGCGACGCGCACAAGAGATCGTCGACACCGGCGATAACTACTTCTACACAAACCAGGCCACCAACCACGACGCTCTGATCGGCTACGAGGGCATCGGCAGAGAGTTACTTCAGCAGTTTCCCAACGGGATCGATGCCTTCTGCGGCGCTGTGGGCGGAGCGGGCATGGCGATGGCCGTCTCCAAGGTCTTGAAGGCCCAATGGCCCCAGACGCGCGTGGTCGTGCTGGAGCCGGCGTCTTCCCCTGTCATCACCGAAGGTCGCGCTGGCACGCACCAGGTGGATGGGATTGGTCTCGGGTACATGCCCGCGCACTTGAATCGAGAGCTCTATGACGAGGCGCGCGGCATACCGGAGGAAGACGCCCGTGCGATGTGTCGGCGTTTGGCGAGAGAAGAGGGCTTGTTGGTGGGCACGTCGACGGGGTTGAATGTTGTCGCCGCTATTGCACTAGCTAAAGAGCTAGGGCCGGGCAAGACGGTCGTCACGGTCGCTTGTGATACTGGATTTAAGTACATGAGTGGCGGTCTTTTCGCCGAGAATTAAGCATCGATAGATTGCAGCATCATTCTCAAATCGATAGATTGGCTCGGAGTTCTGGACATCTGATTCTTAGAAAACGCTGGCGTGGGCTAGGAGCTACAGGGATAGAATAGCACAGTGCTATTGCGGTTAATTGGACTGTTCGTCTACTCTTCTTTGAATTTAGCCTGGCACTGTTTATATTAAT